TTATAATTAATTTTTATGTCTTACAGCTCCTAGGTCGTAATTTTTCTTGTTTTTTGTTCTTTTCGAACAATATAGTAGAATGGACGTCCAAATTTTACGGACGTTATAACTTAAGAAAGTGAAAACATTGTCCATTAATTTAAACCCTTATTACCAAATAGCCGAAGTTAGAATATTCCAAACAGCAATTAAAACTAGGCAGCCTATAATAAAAATAAAATAAAGCTTTATGTTTGGATTTTAGCGCTGAGCATTTTATAGGCGGCCATTAGCTTTAAATAACATAATTTATTATCTTTAAGATTAAAATATGTTTTTTGTGGTCGTAGACTTAATACCCTCTAATGAAACCTTTATTAAAATGTGTTATAAAAGGCGAGCGCGGTGTTCTTCGCGAACTGCACTTAAAGGAAGATAAACGGACAATTTCTTAAAGACAAAAGTTTCTCATTCCGCTCAATGTCACTGTCGGAAGATTTTACCGACTTGTATAAATCTAAAACTCTAACTAATAGCATTATTCTTTGAAATAAAATCTTGGCAGTGAGCTTTTCGCGTCACAACCAGAAACTGTATACAACAACGATAATTATGTGCAGTCAGTTGTTAGTGTGTCCGTGTAGTGACGGATTAAGAATACGGAATGTCACTGCCCCAATTCATCCCGTGGGTGTCGTAAGAACCGACTAAGGGCGCAAAACAACGCAGGACACTAGCACTGCAAAAAGAGGGAAAACTTGACACAAACCCTATACCAACCCGCCTGGCCAGCGTGGTATAGTAGGCCAAAACCTTCTTTCTAAGGAGAGGCCTATGTCCAGCAGTGGACTATTAAAGGCTGTTGATGTGTGATGTGAGTTGTTAGAATCTGAGAAGATGAAGGACTCTTTTTTTATTACTCACCAGCTGCGCCTGCGGTTTGTCAGTTACACTAAAGAGTATATCATTTAACCAGGAATATAGAAATATAGCCTATAAATTATTCCAAGGTGTCAGTTATCTCTATCTCAAATTTTATCTAAATTGGTCAAGGTGTTTTATTTTTGAGCGTGTAGAAGTAACAAACCTACAAACATACACTCACAAACTTTCGCTTTTATAATATTAGTGTGATACACCACACTTTCACCTAGGATCATGAAAATTGGCAAAATGAATACCTCAGAACCAAATTAAATACTCTCTCACCCTATTGGTTATTAATTACGATGCTTTGTAACCTATTGTACCTTGTAAGTGAAATAAAAGCTATTACGATTGGTGAAAACCGTATAAAAATCCGTTGCGTAGTTTCTTCAGAAAAAAAAGCGACTTCATTTTATACTACAGAAATCAATCATCAATTCAATCGCTATAGTTATACGAGTAAAGTTTTATACAACGTCGAGTGGATTTGTTATTTCAAATATAAATATTGGCTTATTATAAACTGTTTAAAATCTGTTATTGAAAACTCGTGCAGAATTTTTGCTAGTTTATTCAACAATACGGTATAGATAATAAGATACTATATTTAAATCTCCTTGAACTTTGTCTGGTATCCAGCATTCATTAAAAATTATTTAATAAAGTGATATTTTGTCAAATTACAATCATTCTCTTCAAACATACACTTTCACAAAAAAACACGAAAGAAGCAATTTACTATGTCCGTATATAATTTTGTAGGTATCCATAGTTAATATCCAAAGTTATATCAATGTAAAAGTGGCTCCTCAATCTAAACATCTAAATCAATATCATCTATATTTAAGAGCGTGAATTGCCTGAAAGTAATTGGTCAAAATTTTTATTCAACTCCAAAAACATTTAGTAGCAAGTGTGTTTGAATTTGTAGCATCAGGCGAAAGTAGTAAAACTGAGTGGATTTAATAAATAAACGCATTTTATTTGGCTCCTCAATCCTGACGTACTAGATGACGTAATAGATCACAACTTAAACCAAAACCAGAGATACTAACATTTAGTATAAATGTCTACTAAATAAATATGTACAGATCTACGTTGTATATATTCGGTATCTGAAAAATAAATTACTTTTTGATATTCCTTATGAATTCGCTTATTTGGGGTGACCATGTCAAAATGAGAAATCCCAAGGACTAGTTTTTAAAATTTATTTTTCAAGAAATCGACAATTATCAAGATATTGGAATGTACAGAAATTCATCAGTTATAAATATTTATTAATCAATTTGGACATAAGTTATACAATGAATTAATATTGGTTGGTCGGTGCTTTCACGAATTTTACATTGAGAATCATAGTCGTCGTAACAAAACATCTCATCCTTTGTTGGGTAGTGACATGTATAGTTGTCCCATGCCAGCATCGCTAATTGCAGAGATAAATTCTATAACACCTATTATTATACTACCTACTACCACCTATTTTTGCCGCGTTTTGTATCGATAAGAATAATTAAATATAAAAGTAATAATTCACTACGTCTGTAATAACTATCTATCAGTGTTGAGATACTGACTCTTGTGTCGTGGTGTATACATAAATATTATTGAGGGTAGTTAACCATATTATTGGCTGGCAGGAGCTGGATGCGAGAAGCCCAAAATCGATCTAAGTGGCGTGCAATGGGAGAGGCCTATGTCCAGCAGTGGACTGCGATAGGCTGATGATGAACCATATTAACTTGCAGTTACCTCCAAATAATTATGTAAGTTATTCACGGACACCCTACAAAAAAATTGTTAGAAAATTAAAGAAATGCTAATAACTTCGTAGGTACTGTACTTTTTTATGACAGGATTATACGTAAATTTAGTATAAATTTATAAAAAAAATATGTTCCAAATTTCGTCACAAGTATAAGTATATTACCGAAACATCTTAACTGAGGAGACAGTTAAAATTTGCCATATCTCCAAATTCACTCATTTGTAATTACTGACTCTTTACACTACAAATTTAATATACTTACTACTAAATGATGAAAAAATTGAGCATCAATTGAAAATTGCTTCTTTGATAAATAGAAATCGTATGTATGGTCTGAGAAGCCACTATATAATACTTAGTAACTTTTGAATTTTAACATTACCGAGCTTAGATTTTGTCTACTAACTACTCTCAAATAAAAATACTTTAAAAGTTTTATACTACAAAATCGAGGATCGATTTTGTAGTCGTTACATCATAAAAATTAAATGTGTAATACATAACATAACAATTTAATGTAAACATGTAACTAATATAAAAAACAATTAAACTTATCTACTAAATAATAATATTAATTTAATTAGGATATGAAAAGTGGGTCCTCAATCCAAACTGATACAATTTATTTATTGTGAGTAACATATTATTAATTTTCTTCATCGACATGTTAAAGAAACGCGTGTAGGTATATATATCGCTCGGAAAATGTCGCCGGCGTACCAGCACATTATCCCCATCTGCATAACGGCTTCGAGATAGAATTTATTACTCATTTCCATCCACGACTCGAGAACCTATAAAAGTGAAATGTTACCCAAATAATGTAACGTGATTGATTGAAAAGTTTATTTCAATATTATGAGCATAAAATGCGGCTTTCTGTTTATTTATATGATTGAAAAGTAGTATCCGACACTAATTAAAATATTGTAAACCTCTTTCTACAAATTTAAAGGCACATTAATTCAGTTCAGATACACATAGATTATCAATCAATCAATCATCATCAAAAGCAATCTTAAGTAACCATTTTTAATTGCAAACGCTTTTTATTCGTGTATTTCCTTTAAACTTAACACTGTCTTAACTGATAAAATATTTAAAAAATAAAAGGAATTAAAGTATGAAATTGCTAATTAGTACTGAAAATTTGAAACTTTGCTTCTTTTCTAAGATATATCATCTTTATTTGATTTAAAATATTTATCCTCATTTTCTATACATTTCTGCAATGTAAACGGAATTTAATTTATGTCTTTACGATAGAACTCTGGGGATTTAGATTCGACAAACCTGCCCCCCCGTTTTTTTTTATCTCGTAGAAAATTTTCCAAATCACGAAAAAAATGATAGTCCATTGGAGCAAGGTCTGGCAAGTAAGGAGGATAATGTATGGTTTCTAACTGCAGCGCCTGTACGGTTTCAGCGGTTTCTCGTGAAGTGTGAGGTTTTGCGTTATCATGGAGCAATAATGGTGAAGACCAAACAATTGAAAGTCAAAAATTGAATGTTACACATTCTTTAAAAGAACCTCATAGGTATCATGTAAAAAAAGTTTCACACGAAAATCTTTTCGAACGAAGGTTTTATGTCAGGAATTCAGCCGTCCGCCGATAAACTTTGGCGAGCACCTCCGCCTCCTAATCCCATGGGGGAGATCCGGCCAATGCGCATGCCGCCTCCGTCGACACGGTACGGTAACCGACAGCAGCGCCTACCAGCTTTGGAGCAAGCTGTCGGAAGTTCTCGTCGAAGAGTCACCTCGCGTTGAGGATCAGACAAAGGTACTTCATCTGGGCCTGACCCGGTACGAGAACGGAGTTGATGACCACGACGGGGCCCATGGAACAAATGGGGCCTCCATCTTTTCCAGGGCCAACTGTAAGCAAAGCGCCTTAATGCACCCGACCACCAGACTCCCCTGATGGCCAGATGCGCCGCCTCTCGAAAGTTCGACCCTCGGGCTGTGACCAAAGTGTCATCGGCGTAACAAATTACACCCAGCCCGGGGGCAATTCAGCTCGAAGGGCCCAGTCGAACCTTATGTTTTACAGGAGGGGTCCAAAACAGACCCGACACGACATGGGCCGACTACTCAAAACACCATCTCGGTCCTGATACTACTGATGATATGTATGATATGATGAAGATTTATACAATTTACTCGCCTCGTCCAGCAGCACGATGGGCCTGTTATAGGCTTTTCAAGAGCACCAACTTTCCGCTCTTCCAGCACTCAGAGAAGCGTCCGGCAGCCAAACTAGTGTCGAACGCCTCCCCAAGTTGGTCTGACATGTGGTTGAGGGCCAGGGCCAGCACTGAGTCAGGGATTCCATCCGGCCCGGGGCGGCTTTCTTGGTACGGATCCGAAGAATAGCTGCCCCAATCTCCGCATCCATGACGGACGAAACACCGTCCTCCTGGTTCGCCCTCTCGTTTCAATTAGGATCAAGGTGACCAGGCTGCATTTCCTGCAGGAAGTTGGGCTGAAGAGTTTCCCACCCCACCGGGGTTTGCGGCGGGGTGGTGTGTCGGACTCGGACCGACTAAAACCACACGGTGTGCCAATCTGCGCCTGTAATAGGAGGGATCCGGGAACTGCTGTTAGCAAGACATCCGGACCCCTCCTAGCGCCTGCCTGCAACGGCGCGGGCACCACCTTCGGGTACATTCTCTATTTAGGCGACGTCCGGTACACGCGGACGTAGCCTCCTCGCGGCTGGCCGTTATGGCGGGTGGTAAGCACGCCTCCGCCGCCTGGTTCGACGAAGACGGATTGGGTCCGAGTGGAGGTTGTCCTCCCGGGCCCTCTTCGCCGCCTCCTTCTGCAATATGACGTCTTCGCAAAAGGATGCGACCGCGGTGAAACATCTGTCACTACCAGCCATGGAGCGTATGACGGCCGGTAGCGAGAGATCCGAGCGAGAGACGAGTTCCCACTGCAATCGCAGTGGTGACCGGCGGGACTCAATTCCCTCCTAGCGACCGAGTGCAGGTACTTTCCAAAGCAACCGTGCCCGGAAAGTACCTCCATCAGCTGGAATGAAAGGGCCCCGTGCTGCCGCCCTGCCCAGCTGGAGCGCCTTCACGGCGGCAAAGCCAACTCGTGGGGCCTCCAGCCGGGACGACCAACGAGCCATTGTGGCTCGACGAGCGGCCTGACGCCATTCGCGTATCTCACGCGAGTCAGGCCGCTTCTTCGTTCAGGCGGGGGCCGACTGCGGCTAACCGCCCGGAACTCAGTCGTCCACTGATATACTTCGGCGAGCACTTCCGCCTCCAAATCCCACGGGGGAGTACCGGCCAATGCGCACGCCGCTTCCGTCGAAACGGTCGAAACGGTAACCGCGTATGGCTCTAACCGCCAATATCCTCTGAGGGCGCCGAAGATCAGACCCAGATACGTCATCTGGGCTTCAAAATGAAGCTTTCATTTTCATAGTTAATTTAAAGAATAATTTATTTGAGCTCTGATAGATCTCAGCACAGTATTTACTAAGAGCGGCGTGTTGTCTGTTTTCAATTTGCATTTTGTTCACTAACCTTTGCCATTGACACTGGCTGTAAAACAATAGATTGCCCAGACATTTCAGACAATGAATTCACTCAAGGTATCAATATCCGCTGATGTGTAAGTAACTATCGACAAATTCCTCCATTAAATCGGCATTAATCATTTTGACCAGCAACTTCGGCAGTCTCACCAATCAGCATTCAAATCAGGAGGGACGACGATAGTGTCAAAGACACAAGCTCTTTGTCAGTTTATTTGTTAAATAATGTCTTTGGTATAACGTTTATTAAAGAAAGTTCTGTTTTTCAAATACAAAAATTACACAGATTCAACGCTGCTTTTATTTCTTTTCAGGCGCCCACTTTTATCGGATGCCATTCCAGACGACTATTACGTAGTCCGTGTTAACGTTTTTAGAAAGTTTTATTATTTCACCGTTAAATAGATACATACATTTACCCCATTTTCCCTTTAGGGGTTGCTTATGAAACAGCTATATTTTTCCAACTATAACATTGTCTCACTCAGGTAATAATTGACAGACTACTGTCATCAAGCGCGCACACTACTACCGGAAACCTGGGAATTAACAATTGAAAAATTAGAAATATATTAAAAGACTTTGTAAAGAGATTCTTATACGGATGCGTAGATGCATGTCAGCAAGAGATGGGGCACGTCAGGGTATCAGTCGTTTGAATTGAGACCGGGAACGTGACCCCTGATTACACCTTTTAATAAAATATTTTGCCTAAATTGCTGCTGCCGATATCACAGAACTTGTATCTGTATAACCGCACTGTTCTTTTTTTTTTTTTTTTTTTTTTTCGGCATGCCACCTATCGGTGGCATGTCGGACTCGAACCTACTAAAACCGCACGCCTTCGCCGGGTACTAATAGCCGGGGAACCAGGTATACCCTAGAAAGGAAGTCCCTGGTGCCCCGACATACCTCGGGTCATCTACAGACGAGTAGACGACTCCCCCCCCCGTGTGGGAACCCCATGTTCCCTGTGCTCCCTGGAAGCGAGCGCGCTTCGCAACGCGCTCGCCGCCACCCCGGCCTGCTTCTGCTAGGGTGACAGATGGCCTCACCTGTCACCCCCAGGCCTGCGCTTATGGAGGACGGAGGTCGTTCTGCGACCTCCGGCGCCTGAGTCGCCTGCGCTGCACGGCCCGTGCCCGGGCCTGGCGGGCCGGGAGAGTTCTCTCGCTCCGCACGATAGCCGCAATAAGGCTATCGAGCGAGAGAACTCCCACTCCGATGGCCGCCACGAGGTCTCGCCTCTGCTCAACCCACGCCGAGCACTCTGCCAGCGTGTGGAGAGCCGTGTCCACGGTCTGGCCATCGCAGTGGTGGCACTCAGGCGTTGGCTCCTTGCGGATCAGACACACACAGGTGATCTCCGAAACATCCCTTCCCAGTGATCACCTGCGTCAATCGGTATGAGAGGGTCCCGTGACGCCTCTCGAGCCAATCCTCCATAACGGGTCTTACCGCCGCAATGACGGCGTGCCCAACCGCACTGTCCTAAGACAGGAACTCTTTTTAATACGCTTTTATGAGCTTAGTATGTATGTAACACAATCTTTGAACGTGATTTTGACCCACTTCAAAACTCGAATCAAACGGCAATTTCCCACACTTATCAAGGACCGATGTCAGTACAATAATTTGATAAATTTCGCTGATTATCCTGATCAGGATTAGAGGCTTTTCACATACCTGAATATACGGTATTATCTTTTGCTACGTAGAGACAAATGTGAATTACTTATTTGTTACTTTTTTGGTCGTAATGAGAAAATAATTATCATTAAGGACCAATAAAGCAAAAAAAAAAAAACAGTCACAAAAGCGTGTTTTTTATTTTTATTAAACTATAATTTATTATTTATGGGCCTAACATCTTAAACTCGCCATCGTTGGAAAGTACGAGATCTCGATTCAATAAATGATTGAAATTACGTATACAGAGCAGAAAGTCGTTAAAAGTAAATCATGTAATGTCCTTCAAAGTTTGTAATAACTGCCTATAAGGATAATATCAAAGTTTTTCCATTACACACAAAATCTTGATCTCTCAAAATATTTACTAGTGACTGACTTTTCCGCCGTTAGACCACGCGAGGTATGTTTATCATAATTTTTTATATGGACTTACTTGACTTAACTTTACTTGATTTTAAAATTAAACTTGAATAGATTGAACCAAGTTCCAAGTATGTCCCAGTTCACCAAATTAAGCTCTCTTCGCTTTCCTATATACAAGATTGATTGATCCGTTAATAATAATCTTATTTATTCATTTATTTTTACACTTCCTGCATCACATTTTGCACTCGGCGGACTTAATTACACATGGCATAATCTACCAGTCAATCTTTAGATGTTTCAGTAAGGGACATGGCAGGTGCATATGTACAATGAAACAAAGCTATGAACTAAACATTTACAAATATAAAAAAAACTTAATAGTGCTTATTTAAGGCACTTACATAGATGAATACACAAATACATATTTATGTAATATACATACAGAATAATTTTTGAAGTATAAATATATACAATAATAGTATCTGAGGTGGTGGTGGTCATGAGGATATTTCTGCGAGAACTTCATAAGCAACAGTCTTATAAAGTTCTCGGATATTGACTTTAAACGTGTCACGATTTGTTGACATCCTGATCTCAAGTGGGAGCATATTCCATAGTAGTATAGATTGGACAGCAAAAGAATAATGAACAAGAGAAGAAGTGTGTATTGGACATAGGAGTAAAAGCGAGCGAAGATCTCTGTCATGGTTGGAACATAGTAGTTTAAGCTGTAAAGTGAGATAAGTGAGAGTTGTGGGATTATTCAGAAGATATTAAAGGGTAGTCAAGGCCCGTAAGCTACGACGCTGACTTATAGGTAACCATGACAGTTGGATTCGATAAATATAGACATGGTCGTACTTGCGGAGGTTGAAGATGAACGTTGCAGTTGATGAGAAATCAGTCAAGTTTGTTGAGTAGATCTGCATTCAGGTCGAGGTAACATATATCACAATCGATGACTGCGAAGATCAGAGCCTGTATGAGCATTGACTTGGTAGTAGGTGGTAGGAAGTTCTTATGGCGATACAGTGATCTCAAGGTTCCAGTGACTTTCTGACTTACATTCCCATTATATGGTTGCCATTCAATCTACAAGTCGAAATCTTTGACAAATGGACTAATCGATGTAATGGATCCGTTGTTGACCATTACCGGCAGTTTTGACGTGTCTAATCTGCTAAACAATCTTCCTCTATTGGTAGTGGAACTACACTGATAAATCCTTGTTTTTTTTTTTACATTTTGTCTTTTTAAGATCAGGGTAGAATGAAAAGGAATTCATAAAAGTACGAAAATGTAAAAAAATATATAATAAAAGAGAATGCGAGAGCACATCTCTTTTTGAATTAAGGGCACACGTAAGTTGTAGTGGTTTTAAAAATTAAGCAACGTTTAAAATCACGAAAGATATTGTTCTTAACAACTGTGGCAGAGCCATGTTCCTCACAAATAGACCGGCTCGATTGGAGTGATACCACGGCCTCACAGAAAACTGGTGTTAAATAATCTTTCAGTGCTTTTCACTAAGTGAGTGAAGTTACCAGATACCAAATCCACCTCCACCCGCCCAAACATACCATAAAATAGTATTTTAATAAAATTACAATTTTTCAAAAGCAATTTCTCATAAATTTATCTCTACGTTTACCATATCGATGTATAATGAACTAGTCTCTCATCTCTCTAAAATGCATGTAGTTCTCTTACTTGTTAATAACGTACTGACCTGTATAATAACTTCAGTTAAATTTGATGAACACGGTCGCTAATATTGCCTAGGCTTGCTTAATTAATAGTGTGGTACCAAAACTAACCTACATCGCTCAGCGGCTCACGCAAAAGTAGGAAGCACGCCGTGGCTATATGATATCACTACGTATTAGTAATACGTAGTGATACGTAGTGACTTTAATTAATAGTAAATAAATGAAAAAACTAAATATAATAACTTAAAAACGCCTACTATTTAAAAATAGCACAACACAAACATTATGTTTGCCAGGTGTTTACCGAAAAGCAAGCGCAAAGCAACTCATGCCGTCGCGTCCCGCATTAC